TCTGTAGGTCTCTGAAATTTCTGAAGACTACCTAACTTTATGTAATCACTATGCTTACAAAATCATATGTATTGTTAATCCTAGGTTGAATGCTCCGCTGATAAATTAGACTAATGTCTGACATGACTATGAGAACATAGGACTATGTCCTATGTTCTATTCCTGGGACTAACACCAACAAGAGGGGAGGAAAAAAAGTTTTGTTGCAAGTTGTGTTCTGATATCCACTCACATGCAGCGAGCTGAGTGCTGAAAGACAACAAAGCTACTTTAAATGAGAAATCTGGGGTGGATCAGTAATGGAGTACTTCTTTGCATTGATTGAGGAGGTCCAGTGATTTACAGTATGTTACTGAGGAACCCGCATGCCTCTGAGAACACCAGATGCATGTAATTTCTTCACAGTCAAGCAGACATTGGTATTCCTAGATCAGATGTTGCAGCAGAGAATGAGCCCTATTTGACTTAATCCAGTCCCCTCAGAAATATACTAAACCCATGACAAAGGACTGTACATTATGCACTCTGACAGGAATGTCACATATGATTTAAAACCATTATTAATCTACTGGAATCAAGAGAGCTCAGTGATAAAGAGCACTTGCTGATCTTTCAGAGGATGTAATTTGGCCCAGAAATACACATGCATCCATGAAGGCAATCACACATAAAATATTTGAAGAAAGTATCTTGCAAAAACAAATGTGTTTTCAAAAGATTGCAGAAAATTGTTTCTTTCTTTATTTAATTAACATACAATCTTAAAATAAGCAATATATGTTTTAAAGTTGTTTGTATAACAGTCTCAGTATATGAAAAGTACTGGCATGAAACTAAGATTTTCTGCCAACATTAACCCAAATGCTGAGATTGAGCGCAGGACTACCACACTGTAATTCTTGGTCTCCAGGTCTGGACTGGTCAAATGGTAGAGGAGTTGTGTGGAGTCAGGGTGTAACTTCAAGAACACCAGTCCTCTTTTTAGTCAAAGGCCTCAAGGATTCAAGGCAAGAGCACCTCAGAAGATAGATGTGAATCTTGAGCATCCCCTGGGCCATGGGCAGCATCTGCCATACAAAATAATACTTCAGCTACTGCTGGGTCAGTCTGGGCTTCAAATCGGCTTGGCTATCAAATAGGTGTCCTTGGAGGCTATTCCTGGCATCATCATAGGCCTGATCACCATGCAGAGGACTTTGATGGCTGGAGCTGTGTTTGGGAATGGAACTCACACCAAATGTGCCTGGAGACATGGACTCTCCATTGGCAGAAGCAACCACAGATAATGGACCAGGAGATCCTGTTGACTTATTACCCTCTTTAGAGTTTCCATTTATCCTTGGCTGTACTTCCGGAAATTTCTGAAGATTCTTCTTTTTGTTCTTAGCCCGCTGGTTCTTGAACCAGATCTAGGAAGGAAAAGGAGACATCAGACATCAGAGGAATACCCATTGTCTCTGACTGTGCTACCAATTGATGTTTCTGGATGGAATACCCCAACATTAACATTCAGAAATAGAGAAGGCTGAGGCTCTAGACCGCTAAATGTGTTAGGAAGGTAAGTTTTGTATAAAATGGCACCAAAGTACTAAGGAAATATTAGCCTAGAGATTCTAGGGTTTTACTTTGAGCCCAGAGGTCTAGGTCTCTGAGTACTTAAAGGTAGAGGCCTATGTGTCTCCATGTTGATACCCAGATGGAAGCATAATGCTAGGTGTAGCCCCAGATGCACATTCCCATCCACAACTGCCCAAGCATTTAAAATAAATCACAGAGTATGAGAAGTTCTGATAAAGGTGCAGGTGTAGAGGGAGGGGGGCAGGCAGGCAAAGGATAGATATCTAGTGTGGCAGCTGCACAGAGAGACAGGAGAGAGGCAGACCTGGACTGCATTCTCTGTTACTCCAATAAGTTCTGCAAGCGATCTGCATTCCTCCCGGTTTGGACTCTTGTTCTTATTAAAGAAATATTTCTGCAGCATTAGCTTTTGTTCCTTGGTGTACACAGTGCGTTCCTTCCGCTGCTTCCTTGGAACCACAGGACAAACATGTTGGTCACCATAATTTTTATCTGCTGGTACCATAGGTCCTAGGGAACCCTGGCAAGCAGAAGGCTCTGAAGAACTTGAAGGCATGTGATGACTTGGGTGCCCTGAGTTGG